GGCTCGCCGACAGGAGGAACAGGTCCGTCGGTTGGAAAAGCAGCTGCGGGGCGGACAAGAGGAACAGGCCCGTCGGTTGGAAGAGCAGATGCTCCTCATGTGGGACCTTCACGCTACCTTCGGGAAGGAGATAAGGGAGGTGAAGGATAGGGTTTCTCAACATGACAACCGCCTGTCAGAAGCTGAAACCCAAATCGGGAGAGCTGAAACCAGAACCGAGAAAGCTGAAACCCGAATCGACCAAGTCAACAATCGGGTTGACAACGTGATGGCTGACGTGAAGAAAACGCTGGAGGACCTCAAACTGGGGGATGTAATTACAGCTCCCGTAGTAGCTACAACACCTTCGCTACGTGGGTTCAAAGTGCCACCGTTCGACGGGACTTCTTCCTGGTCAGCTGATAAAATCCAGTTTGAAGCCGTTATGAAGGCGAATGGCTGGAATAAAAGTCAGGCCATGACTGCTCTCACACTAGGCCTGCGTGATCAGGCCTTAACTGTTCTGGAAGCTCTCGGTGAGGAAGTGACTTATGAGCAGCTCCTTGAGGCATTGGAGGCGAGATATGGCGACGCTCACCTGGAACACGTCTTTTGTGCGCAGCTTAAAGATCGCGTGCAGCGCATCAATGAAAACCTGCAGCAGTGGGCTCTAGAGGCGGAGAAGCTGGTGCGAAAAGCATACCGGTCTGTACCTGCGCTCATTGAAGGGAACCTGGTACAGACATTCATCGACGGCATCCGCGACCTGGAAGTCAGAGCTGCTGTGAGGCTCAGGCACCACGAGACCCTTAAGGACGCCTTGGCCCATGCACTGGAGGTGGAAGCCGTGCGGCAGGATCATCGTTTCCATCGCATCTGGGAGGTTGCAGCAGCTACAGTTCGCGACCGCAACAAAGGATAGAGCCCTAGGTGCTATGGCTGTGGGGAACGGGGCCATCTTCTATCCAGCTGCCCTAAGTGAACCGTAGAAAGGGAAGTTGATCGATCTCGAGAAGGTAGTGCAGCTAACGGCACCGCCTGGTGGCGGTAGGATCATCGTTCCCCACACGCTAGGGAGATTGCAGCAGTTACGGTTTGCGACCACAATAAAGGATACAGCTCTAGGTGCTATGGCTGTGGGGAAAGGGGCTATCTTCGATCCAGCTGCCCTAAGCGAACCCTAGAACGGGAAGGTGAACGATCTCAGAAGGGAAGTGCGGCTAACATAACCGCCCAGCAGCAGCAGGAATACGACTTTGAGATCGAACATCGCAGCGGGAAATCTCATGGCAACGCAGATGCATTGTCAAGAAGACCTTGTCCTGAAGATTGCAACCATTGTACTAGGCAAGAGAGTAAGGAAGTGGTATCCGTGAGGATGCTCAGGACAAACCACCTCAGCAACGAGTGGGAGGACAGCTTACCACATGCACAGCAGGAAGATCCGGACATCAAGCCGATTCTGGAATGGATGAAGGCCAGTGCTCCCAAGCCCAAGTGGAGCGACGTCTCAGCGATGAGTTCGACCACTAAAAGCTATTGGGCCCAATGGGACAGCTTGATGCTTCAGGATGGTGTTCTGTGCCGTAAATGGAAAAATGTTCGGGGAGACAGCTGTCATTTGCAAATGGGCGTCCCTAAAGCTAGAGTACCGAATGTTCTACAGCTGTACCATAATGATTGTTCAGGAGGCCATCTGGGAATTAAACGAACTCTACTAAAGATCCGAGAACGGTTTTACTGGGTCCACTGTCGAAACGATGTCGAGGACTGGTGTCGCAAATGTACAAGTTGTGCGGCTGTAAAGGGACCTCAGACTCGTAGTAGAGGTGCATTGAAGTTGTACAATGTTGGTGCACCATGGGAGAGAATAGCCATTGACGTGGCGGGGCCGTTTCCGGAGAGTGATAGCGGTAACAATTATTTCATGGTTGTGATGGATTACTTCACTAAGTAGCCAGAAGTCTTCGCCATTCCAAATCAAGAAGCTTCAATAGTTGCAGATAAACTAGTTCATGAAGTCTTCTGTCGTTTTGGAGTACCTTTAGAGATTCACAGTGATCAAGGAAGGAATTTTGAGTCTCAAATATTCCAGAAAACTTGCCGAGTTATGAGTGCTCATAAAACAAGAACGACTTCTTATCACCCGCAATCTGATGGAATGGTAGAACGATTTAATCAGACATTGGAGAGGTACCTAGCAAAAGTTGTAGACAATCGGCAACGAGATTCGGATAAGCACTTACAACCGTTTTTGTTGTCATATCGAAGCGCTGTTCACGAAAGTACAGCAGTGACACCAGCTTTTGCAAACTTTGGAAGAGAATTACGGCTGCCTGCAGACCTGATCACCGGGATACCACCTGATGCCGCAGTATAACCGATTATGCAAACGACTTGCGGAATAAAATGAATGACATTTATGAGCACGTCAGACAATCGGGCCAGCAAATGGCTGAGAAGATGAAAACCCGGTATGACCGCAAAATGAACAATAAAGGATTCGACGAAAGTTCACTAGTGTGGTTGCACAATCCAGTTCGCAGCAAAGGGAAATCTCTTAAGCTTCAAGCTAAATGGGACGGCCCGTACCGGATTGTAACCAGGATCAACGATGTATCCTACCGGATACTGAAAGGCGCAAGAGAGACTCCTAAGATCGTCCATGTGGATCACCTGGCACGTTATTATGTGGCCGATAATACTCGGGACGAGCATGTCTTAGGAGAGGGCAGTGTTGCGCGCCTAAGTTGACGTCTGGCACAAGCGCCATCGGTGACGGGTAACAGAGCGAGGAGAGCTTTCCAGAAAATGACATCACTTATCTTTCAACCAACAGCGCCATCTAGTATCGAAATGAAGAATTAAGCTTTCTAGAAGTCTTACACTCGAACTTTCGGCGCCTGGTCGATTGGCGCGCGTATTTACTTGAATATTCTGGATGTTTCGGTGTAATGTGTATTTAAAGGCGCTGCAAGATGCGATCGAGGCAGTATTGAATTTGGCGAGACAAACGAAGCTTCGGAGCGAAATATAGTGAATCAGTATGGTAATTATTAGTGTTTTAAGTTTTAATTAGTGCAAAGTGAATTAAAGTGTAAATTTTGGTAATTCAATCGGCAGTTTTTATTGTCATTGTTTTGACTGTGTACGAATGTAGCCACTTGCAAATGAAAAATTAACTAATTTAATTTGATTTAACGGTAGACTTGTAAATAAAATGTTAAAATTGTTGGTTTTATTAACTGTCCTTTTCATAGTTTATTGCCTCATTTATAACAAAGAAAAGTTAAATTAAAAATTAAAGTAACTGTAGTCTGCAATTGATTGAACGTAATTTTACAAATATTCACGTGTACGCAATAAAAAAAACTCTCATTAGTACAACTAAATAAAAAGTATTTTCGAAAATCTCAATCAAAAAACTCTTCAGTTGTAAGGATCATTTATTGTTGTCTTTATTTTCGTTCCAATTTGGAAAGAATTTCGGCTTTAATACCTTTGTAAGTAAAGAAATAAGTTGTTTCGACATCTTTTGTTAGCTTAGGAAAATAATTTTTATTCGTGCTATTACTATAAAACGTTGATTACTTTCTCCTGTCGCAAAAATAAAATCTTTTCGATATTAGGATATTATGAAATTGCCGTTTTTATTTCTATTAATCAAAGTAATCACCCATGCAATCGAAGCATTTTTGCCGACGCAGTGACAGTTTATTGATGCCCTTTTTGAAAAAGTCAGTTGGATGGGAGGCAACAAATTCTTCAAAGGCATTTTGTACTGGACATAAAAAAATGTAAACAAAAAGTTATCCAAATTCTGGAAAAAGTATAAATGTGTAGGAGCAAAATCTGGTGAGTACAAGCTTGGTAACGCCGCACATCCATCTCAGCATCTTCATCTCGGCAACTTGCATGGTATGCACATTCTTTTGAGTTACGGCCCATGTTTCACTGGCATACAATAGGACTGGTCTGATGATGGTCTTATAGATTAAACCTTTAAGTTTGACCGGCATTCTCCTTTCTCCTCTCCAGACACCAGTCACTTCTCGCCACTTTAGCCACGCTGCGGCTATTCGGTGCTGGAGGTTAATTTCCAAGTCCCCAGAACCGCTCATCATACTACCCAGATACTTGTATTGATCACACGATTTGACCAATTATCCATCGATGGAAACCGGACTGTGGTTTGTATATAGGTCGTTGAAGGACATGAACTGAGTCTTTGCCACACTCGGCACAAGGCCACCGGTCTGTAACTGATGTTTCCACGACACGAGTGCCTCTTGCAAGTGAGCGCGGCTGTCTGTGCAGATGGCTACGTCGTCAGCGTATATAAATGTCCACGTTGCTGAATTCTGTGCCGCTTCAGTGAGTGAGTCCAGAACCAAACAAAACAGAAAAGGGCTCAATACAGAACCTTGGTGCACTCCTTCTGTGACCGCTATCGACTTGGTCTCACCCACCACCGTCCGAACCATTGACCTCGCATCTCTGTACATGTCGGCAATGATGTTAACGTAGTGTTCGGGGACATTTTTCTTACGAAGGCTCCACCAGATCGTATCCCTTGGGACACGATCAAACGCCTTTTCCATGTCCAAAAATGCGACATATAATGGTCGGTTTTTCGCGCGATACTCTTCGACAATCGTATTAAGAGCAACCATCGGATCCGTGGTAGACAATCCAGGTACGAAGCCATAGTGGTTCTTAGACAGCTCGCACTCGGATCTTATGCGGCTGTCAATTACCCTCTCATAGAGTTTCATGGTGTGACTGAGGAGCTTGATTCCGCGATAGTTGTTGCACTCGTACTTACTACCTTTTCCCTTGTAGATGGGAACGATAGTGCTCAATCTCCACGCCTTTGGCATTTTTGAAGAGAACAACATACAGTTAAAGAAATCGGTTAGCAGTACGAGTCCGCGTGGACCTAAGCATTTCCAAGCTTCCACTGGTATTCCGTCAGGTCCAATGGCTTTCTTGTTGGACATTTTGTGTAGGGCTTTCTTTACCTTATCAGGATGTATTGGAGGTAAAAGTCCTGCATTCACTTCCAATCCAGGAAGTTGTGTGGCAGCTAGATGGGGTAGGGATAGTAGCTGTTCGTAGTAATGATGCCAAGCTATTATGACATCATGGTCTTTATATAACAAGTCGCCATTTGGACCTTTGACAGTTTTACACCTGGCCGGAACTTTTGTGCTTTGACAACGCTGTTTTGCTACCTTATACATACACTTTTGGTCTTCTTTTGTATTTAACTTACTATAAAGCGTTTTCTGGGACTGCGCACGTTCTATGGCTATAACTTTCTTGGTAGCTTTTTTAACTTCTTTGTACTTTTCCCGATCTTCTGGGGTTAAAGTGGACTGCCAGGTCTTAAAAGCATCTTTCTTTTCCCGTATTGCATCTTGCACCTTCTCTGTCCACCACCACGTCTCTCTGTCAGATTTTTACCGCTTTTTGTAGGGCTAAGAATGTTGTTTGCAGTAGTTATAATGGACTTACGTAAATGTTCCCATATGGTGTCAATATCTGATTTAACATCAACCTTCAAATCAGCAAGACGTTCACAGAACTCGGGAATTTTCTCACCTTTTAGGTTCCACCATTTGGTGAGTTCAGGAATTTGAGTTGGTTTTTCCTTGGGATGTCGTTTGAATAGCACGTCCATAACAACAATACGGTGTTGGGGGGCGACGCATTCCCCCGGAATAACCTTACAATTTGTTACACGGCCAATGTGAGCTCGGTTGATTAGTATGTAGTCAATCTGTGAAGATGTTTGGCCGCTTTTATACGTGATCAGATGTTCGATCTTTTTAGCGAAAAAGGAATTGGCAATAGCAAGATCGAAGGCTGCTGCCCTGGAGAGAATGACTTTACCAGCATCGTTTAGTGTTCCGTATGCGTAACCTCCGTGCACCCTTTTGAAAGCGCTGTTTGCTTCTCCGATGTGACCGTTTAAATCACCTCCCAGTAAAGTAGTTTCTTTAGGAGATATTAATTAAAGAATGTATTCTAGGGAAGTCCAAAAATTGTCTTTTTCTGCTTGGCTACAACCCACTTGGGGAGCATATGCAGCTACAATATTTAGTACCTCACCTTCCACCAGTACCTTTATTGACATGAGTCTGTCGTTAATACGGTTGACCTCCAGGATGTTTTCAAGATGATCTTCTTTGACAGCAATTGCTACGCCATTCCTACCATGCTTTGCACCTACGTACATAAGTTTGTAGCCCTCTCCGATATTACGGGCTTTGGATCCAGTCCATCGAGTCTCTTGTAGACATATAAAATCTACCCTTCTGCGCTTGAAAAAAGAGGCAAGTTCCTTAGTCTTCCCCGTTAATGTTCCTACATTTAAGGTAGCGAAGCGGACTTTTAGGTTACGATTTGGGACTAACGTCGTTAGCCGAGCCCGTCCTTGACTCGGTAGCCCTAGCATACTATTCGCAGATTTAGGGCGATGTGTCTGCGCATTCTGCGTTTCGCGGCGACGCCCTATCCGTGAGACTCAATGCATTACGTAATCTTTCCATGTTTCTTTTCTAAAGATTTGGCTTTTGAGGTTTATTAGTCTATTGCCGATTGCCATCTGACGCAAAAACACCTACCCGCTCAAGGTAGGGAAACCCGTTATGGAGGTGTTGTATCCAGTATACAGGGTATTTCTGCCTGTATGAAGCGTTGTCTGGTTATCCCGCCAGACGTCGGTCGCCAGAGCCCCGTCCGTAGGTCAGCAGAGTGTACCACGTGCAGGTGGGGTTGGCGTTTGGGCTGGTAAAGGTGTTGTTTCCAGCCCCTTACACCAGTAAGTTGCGTTATTCAAATTTAATTATCCTTAAACTAGAAAATACATTGAAAATTAAAATTAAATTTAACGAATAGTACCATTCGTCAATTGATCCGTAGTGTTTTAAACATTATATTGCTATTAAAACCAAAAAAATGAAACCTACAACCAGTATAACAACTAAACTGAATTCATCCGGTATTATAACAAAACGTATTTAATTGATAGTCTTGAGTATAAAGAAGATCGTATCTTTAAAAGTCTCTGTGACGAAAATGTCTCTAAGCCGCTGCGCCAGACTTCGCGAAATTATACTTTTGTTGTCAAATTCAATACTTTACATTTTAGCATATTAACCGCGGTACTTCTTTTAATTGAAACGTAATCTAAATAAACCTAAGACTAATTATTATAAACTACTTTTTCTACCTCAGTTGTTAGATAAAATAAGTTTTATGAGATTTCAGCATTTTTTCAAACTAATAACTACAATCTTAAAATCACTTTATTATATTTAATATGATAAAAAGGAACTAATGAAATAACAAAGCTCTTTGTATATAAAAACACGTACGTAATCTAATCTGTTCATACAAGTTTAATGCAGTGCAGACATTTTCGTTTCACATCGTTAAGCTTTTTCGTCATGTTTACATGAGACAGGTATTGCAAGGAAGACCTAAATAGTGTTGTTGCATATTTAAATATAAAAAATGAAATAACCAAATACAGACTTTCCACTGTTAGGCTCGGAATTTCCATTACTGAGAAGGGTTTGGGGAAAGGAATACTGCACCACATGACACTAATAAGAGTTAATGGACTAGACAGACTACCCGTATTATTAATGTAATCTTACTTTTAATGATGTCTTTCTTCATCGCTGAGCACATGGTATGTCAGTACTTAAAATTAGCAATTCCATTGGTATCCTGGCAGAATGACAGGCCGCGTACGACAAACGCATAAAATGTTTGAGGTATTAATGACTAACTACCACGGAAGACTGCAGCATTTTAATTTTAATTTTTTTTGGTTTCGTTCAAAAAAAGCACTGGTTAACTTCCTTGGCTTAGCTACAGTCTGACATAGTCTCAGTTGCCATAATCAAAAACAAAACCTAGAAAACCTTGGCGTTCGAGATTCTGAGCTAAAACTCTTCTTAGCATTTATTTACTTGAACAATAGAATTCAGGTATTGTGATAATAATATATCTCAAATAACGGGGTAAACCTTGTTTAACCGGAACGGACTATAAATTAATTTAAAGAAATACATACTTTTAGATATTTCAACTGTCTTCAAATAATATCAAAATATTGTGAAGATAGGTGGCACTATATTGTCCTGGTACCGTTCCCAACTAAGCTACCATATAATTGACATTAGAACATTTATGTTATATACCAGTCGCTATGCTAAAATTAACAGCCCAAGATGTCAATATTCCATCGATAGGCACGCTATAATATCAAGGTCGGATTAGTCGTGTAAGCAAGATTTATGGTATCCAACAATGAAGTAAAGTAAAGAATAACGGAAAAAAGGAGGATCAATACGTAAAATCCTGAAAGAAAAGCTTTGGTTATCATGAAAACGAAATGGGGAAAGAAACGATTAACGAAAGTCAAAACTCAAAACAACAACAAGTGAGTGACAAGTTAAGTGAAAAATTAGGCGTCAATCTGAGATCGATTTATTATATAAATTAATAATAAATTACGCCTAATTTGGAATTAAGAGATCGACTCTTAAAATCGACCTGAAGTTCTAGATCAATTTACTGAATCGATCCAAGAACTCGCCGAATCAGACCGATTTCTATAGAAGCCACTTTACTACGATCATGTATGTTATCTATTTGATAGATATATATATTTCAAAATAATTTTTTTTTAAAATTTCAAAAAAATAATTTTATTCAAAAAGTATGATTAAATGAATTAAACGCATCTATACTTAATAATATCCACGAAGTCCACTTAATCGTCAAATAAGAGATTCTATTGCGCTCGTTTGCCTAGTGAATTTTTTTTTTTTATAGAAGAGGGGGCAAACGAGCATACGGCTCAGCTGATGGTAAGTGACTACCGCCGCCATGAACAACCGCAACACCAGGGGAATTGCAGATGCGTTGCCGGCCTTTTGGAAAGGTGTAAGCTCTTTTCTTAAAGGTCCCTAAATTTGAACCATAGACTTAGATCACACTGACGTGTAGTCGACCTGATAGCTCAAAATCGCGTGGCAAATTTCAATTTGTCATTATGTGCATTAACAAGTGATACATATTTTACCTATAAGGACTTTCGATAAATAATTCCAGTGCAGCCACAATAATGCAATTAGAAGTGCTAAAAGTTTGGTAAAAAGTTTAACAAAATTAATTTAGTACACGAAACTGAATAACTATAAATTAACTTTTTTCCATGATTCGTTCCGTAATAAATAATTATTTTTTTTATTTATTCAAAAATAAATAAGTAAGCGGTAATAACCATATATTCATTTATATTATAACAACCCTTTTTACACAGTTTTTGTTTAACAAATTATTTAAACGTGTAAATAGAAAGGTCTTGTATATTTTCTCGGACTTTGTTGTGATAACTTTTACATTACCCCAAGAATGAATTACTAACTCCGTGGAGTCGAGAAACTGGTATCACTAGCTTGTGTTTGTTTCTAGTGTTTACAGGTATATTAATTTTTTTACCAAACTAGTTTTTTGTGAACATACGTTAAATTTTCCCAAATATACTAAGAGACAAAAGTTAATATATTTATTTCTCTAAAATTTTCTCTAAGAGACTCTCTCGGTTTAAGATTGTAAATAGCTCTTATGGTCCTCTTCTGCAAAGCAAAAACAGGTTCTAAATCAGCCTCATTTCCTCATAGCAGAATCCCGTAAGACATGCAATGAAAATAAGTGGAAGAAACTAATCTAGCCGTAGTGAGACCAGGAATCTATTTTATAGCATAAGCTGCAAAGCTAAGTCTGTTTGCTAGTTCGGATATATGGGGGCCCCACTGAAGCTTTGCGTCGAGAAATAAGCCAAAAAAGCAGTGGACAACAGTCAACAGAGCTCAGTTCTTCCCCATTTAAAAACACGTTGGTGTTCAGATTTTTAACAACCGGTGTAGTAAATTTAATACATTTAGTTTAAGAGAAGAAGAAATGATGCGAGAGAGCACTGTCTCATGTATGTATATCCTTTTAAACATATTGTTAATAAAATAAAATAGTCTATATGTACTCAGTGTCTCCCTTTTTATATCAGGAACAAACATATCTAAATTATTTTTAAACATATTATTTATAATTACTCTTTGGCCTTTAAACAGAACGATATTTTTAACTAGCTCCTTCAAATTTGCTTACTTAAATTAGTGAGGTTAGTATAAAGAGTATAAATCAAATATCATGATCCCGGGAATAAGCTGCACCTACCTGCCTTTTGTTGGGTTTAAATTAAAAATGTACAATATCCCAATAATGTCTGAAAAGGTGAGTCTGCTGATAAACTCAAACAATTTTCCCCAAGAATCAGATCAGTAAGTTGTATTTTCGAGCTATGAACTTTGGAGAAAAATTTACTGGTTTCCCCAGTTTCCCCGCATTTTTATTTTAACATAATATTATAGATAAACAAATATAAATAGGTAAATAGTTAATTAAGTATATAACTATATATACTTAATATATTTAATAAAATGTTTGCCGATGAAATAAAAAACGGGGACACGGAGTACATAATCGTTGCTTTATTTTTCATATAAGTGTTACTTTTAATAGTTAAAAACATTTAATAATTAATATTTTAATTCATTATAGATGTTTATTTTAACATTTGGCTTAAATACGATAATAAATTTATAATTTAAGTAAGGAAACTTATAGCAGTCAGTTAAATAACATTCTTCTAAAGGCCAATATGTTTTTGAGGCTACTCACTCTTTCATCTGTCCCTGAAAAATATAATGTAATAATAAACTTATTATGATATTAGCGGCATGAATTCGAAAACATAATGATATTGACAGAGATTAGCCAAACACACAGGAGATATTAAAGTGCACCAAGTGTCTGGAATATGCACTATTTATTCTATGTATGTATAGTATGTTATATATACGACTAACAATATAGGCTATGAATTACGCTATTAAGCTCTCGGTACACTGTCGTCGGCCATCGAATATGAATAGGGCATCAAGCGTTGTATCAGATACTATGGAATTCATACTATACTGGCACACTGAAACGCGTGGCTCATTGCTTCAGAAGCATTACTCATTATCTTTACCTAACTACGCTAACTTTGATTATTCTGACTTGGGAACATAATCCAAAGCCCCGCTAAACCCCTTGGGAAAAATAGCGTGATGCTATGAATATTGTACTATTGTGTGACCGTAAGTTGCGGATGGTTATGTAAGGTGATACATTATTTTTGGTCGATAAATAGATAGTTAGTTGGGTTCATAATTGCAATAGGATAATCACAGGATTTTATATCTTTACTTCACTACAGATTTGTAATGTATAAAACTCTATCTCTATTTTTATAAAAAGTTTTTAAAGCCTTGTTATAACAATACTATATATACTTACTGGTACAAATAATATATAAATGGCTCCTTTTGAATAAAA